ACCAAAAACAAAAGAAACAGTTTTGTTGAACAGACGATAAACAAAACAAAACTTATTACATAAGTAAACATACATCACACCTAAAACAATGATTCTTAAAAATGCCTGATTTTTTGTGTTTCACTTTATGTCTTTTTTTCACAAATATTCATGTTATTTTTACAAAAAAAACAGAAAAGCCAACTCATTTCACATACCAAGTCAGAAACAAAACATAATTTAACATCAGAAATTAACAACCTATCTCATACCCTATAGACGAATATTAAAATGTAGCTTATACGATATTGCTGAAATTGCGAAATACAAGATATTTGATTGCATGCTCATTGTAACAGCAGACTGCGGGACTGTTTGCCAAATTCCCTGGCACCTTCTCAATACGCAGCGTTACAATTTGCCTCATGACATATGGCCAGATTTGTGCCAACGAATGAAATGCTCGACATGAAAATTATACATTTAGTCACAAGCAAAAATGATTTATTTTATAACGTTGAATCAACTTTGCAAAACCAAATCAAATATAAAATGCATCAAATTTCTGTGAGGAATCAAACATTCTATTAAAAAATTTACTCAAATATATTGGAATGCCTAAGATAATTCAAAACATGTTTTCTGGACATTTCTTTAAAAAAAAATGTCATATTTTAAAATCAATTAGAACAAAAGTATAGCAGTCGGAGCCTTAAAGCGTAAAAAATTAACATTAGTTAGTTGAAGTTTAATTTGAAAGTTGCATTCAATTGATTGTTTAATTGAATTAATTGAAATTCATTAAAGAATCTGCAATCCTAATTTTACCACACATATTTCTTTAATGCAATTACATCAATTTTTATAATAATGTGCTTATTGTTTTGACCTGCTGTGTTTTGGACACTTTATAAAAAACTAAAAAGTGCAGATCTTTTGACATCATTTGTAATTAATGTTAACATTGATAAACATGAATGTACATAATGTCCAACACATAAGTACTCAATAATCAAATTTTAAAATTTTTATTATTCAGTAAATAATAATGTATTTTGAATTCAAAAATGTTTCATGATTATAAATATATCAAATAAATCTCAATCTCAAATAATTCATCAAAATAAAGTAAGAGTAACTGTAATTATGATTTTACAAATTATGTTCAGCAACAGAATAAAAGAAAGAATAATTCTACTAACTAGTGTGGGAAGGGTAGCACATAAAACATGTGGTAATTGGGCACACAACATGATTATATCACGTACATGCGTGTGTGTGTCACTGATTTCTATCATAAAAGATGTTTAATCCCACGCATTATATATTTCCAACGTGACTATATAAAACTCTAAAAAAAATCTTGAACAGTGTTTTTTTTTTGTACGAATGAGATTGAGAGTATTAAAATACAAAATTATTGCTTTTGGCTATATTAATTATCAACTTAATGGATATTTAGTTGCCTAATAAAATTGGCATAAATATTATAGGTTAATGAAATGTACTATACTTTTGTGTGTGGCAACAAGCATGTACAGTACTATAGTTAAGTACAGTTGACATGTAACTGAAAACAAGATTGGAAGAATTGTCTGCCAGATAAGATAAATATACAGAAGTTCAATAATAAAATAGTAAATTATATTTTCATTTACAAGACTTATTGAAAAACTGCTTACTCAATATAAATTTGTTAACGTACTGTAACCAAAGTTGAAAATATTCATGAAAATATCCATACCGTAACCAAATATGGAATTTGATATGAAAAACATACAAAAAAATCTGTTAGTCTTTTACAACTGATTTATGTTTGTGCAACTTGGAACAGTTTCATAATTTCATTCTTGTATTTTTCATTCTGCAATGTTTTTTCAATAAACAATTTCTAAACCAACACATTGAAGGATTAAACAAATTTAAAAATAATTTCACTAAAAAAAATATCCAGAATTAACCAATTTTGAATTATCTTTCTTAATAATAACAGAAAATAGACATCATGCGCTCTAATGGTCAGACTGACACAAAAAAAAAACAGCTGGCTAATAGTGACTCATTTATTTAATTTATCATAATGACAGTGAGTCACTTCATTGGATGAGGGTGATAGGAGGGACAACACTTTGACTGAAGGATGGATGATAGGAGTTGACTGGATGTGAAGAGGAGTGACAGCTATCAATCATAACTGGCACATGACACCCAAAGGCTATACCAAAAGTCTACTAATTAAATATTGTTTAATTCACAAGATAAACTAATTAGTGAGGTATCAAGGTAAATGCTTACAGTATTTTATAAAGATAGAGCTACAGGTGAACCTGTGGCTGGGAGTTTAATTACAGTGAGTGGTAAAGCGCTGCAGAGGCAACTGATTTAATATACAGGATGAGTAATGCTAGAAATATGATGCCATCATCATTTTCACCTTCATAAAACCCAACAACAGATTAATTTTTTGTCGGTTCATTTTCTAGAGCCAAACTAATGATATTTGCTGATTGACTAGTTAAACATAATCCAAAACTCATTCTTAAAAATCTGGGTTTTCAAATTCAAAGAAAGTTTGAGAAGGACTATGAATGAAGATATCACTTTTTTTAAACAGATTCTAATATGCTTTTAGTTGAAAGAAAATTCATAAATTTAGAAAGCACATTCTATTTACACTTTTATTCTGACCTCTCTGATGACTTGCGATACTTAGTCATCATCCTCGGTAGACGAAAATTGATCGAAGGTTGCATTGACAAAGCTTTCAGAACGATCAAACTTTATAGCAATTTTGAAACGTTACAAGGGTAAGTAATGAGGCAATTGACTTCAGACCAAACCTCAGAACATCTTTGGCTTACAATCCATAAAAAAACAGACCAAAGCCAGATATCTCTGCCAAAGTCTCTCAAATCAGAATATCTTAATATAACTGGAGATAATTTTTAAGGTCATATGGAAAATATATTGAAAGGCTATTAATGTTTCAGATGCATATGTAATACATGGATTAATAGACCCTTTACAAGAATGTTGAACTTGCTAATTTTCATTAATCCATTATCATTATTTGATAATTTTGTTAATGATTATTGAATATGAATAAGTAAATTAAATTACTACTTATGTTTAGCTGACTTGCATAATTTTTATCATATCTCTTTCTCATATTCAATTCAAATTTAATTGCATAATTATATTTATATCAACATGCAATGTAAGATAATATTATGGAAAATTATTTAAATGCTTAACAATAACTGGAATCAAAATTCTAAAAAACATTGCTATAAATTCTAATAGGAAATCTTCAAAAAAATCTTCAGATTTTCATTTTAAAGCCATTATTGTCTTCCTGCTAATTGATATCATAAATGACACCTTGTCTCTAATAAAACTAACACTTTTCCTCTGACCTCATTCCATAATCCCCTTTCCAAGATTTCTATCATTTTCATTAATATTAAAGAAAAAAAACTGTATATCATTATGTAGACTATAATACAACAAAATATTGTAAACAGAATATTAAAGGTTCAAAGTATACTTTAGTTACTGTTAGTTTTAAAGATTCTTGTAAAGTTGATCACATATTTTTTAAGTGACAAAATAAGAATAAAATTTATTAACAGGTAGAATTATTTGAGTACTGTAAGTGGTGTCAACAACAATACAGTAACAAAAATAATTAAAAAAAAAAGTTACTGTAACTACATAATAAGGCCTATTATGTGCCTAGAAATTGAAATAAATATCATTAGTACTGCATGAAAATTTTGCTAAAAATATATCAAATAAAAAAATGAATAGGATACAGTCTAATACTAAACAAGACTAAGTGAGAGGAGTAGTGATGAGTCTGAAAACAATCATATTTAACAATATTATAATACTGTACTAAAAATATCAATTTTTATTTTATTTATTTCTTCTTTACCCTGGGTGACCTTATCAGCCCAAAAGCATCGTTATTCTCTAGGGCCCAACAATAACAGCAAATAATAGCAATAGTTATAATAATGATAATAAATAATACTGATTTAGATAATACTAACAATAACAACAATATAATAAAATATTATAAAAATATACCAACAATAATATTAATAAAGAACAACATTTATAATACTAACGATGTTATCAATAATAATAAATAACATGTTACTACTAATAATAGTACATGTATACTATTATATACTAATAGTATATCATTGGATGGAACAAGACATCTTTGGAAATACAAACTTGAGATAATTTGATTGTAAAGTGTATGACTTATGGTAAGCTTAGAGGCGTGATTCATAGCAAGTATTACTCACAAGCGCACGCACCTTCTACTTTCAAATATTCAACAGGATTTTATGAAATAAATAATCCAAATTAGAGGCCGAAAAACCTTATAAAATTATAATTTCTATTGTTATTATTATAAAATAATAATTACTATATAATAATATTAAATTCACTATACAGAAATATATCCTGCCCAAAATAATAATATAATAATGTCAAAACGTTTTCAAAAGAAAATATTTTGTTCCCATAAGTATTTATATTTCTGGACTCTGAACACCGTTTGATGACAAAAGTACTTTTTCCCCCCTAACTGTATAGTTATAAAAATAATGCACAGGTAGTACTTAGGGCCAGGCCTTCTACTCCATTACCCCACATCAAACCATGTAGACTTATAGTCAGTAAACAAGTGATTGTTTATAGCAATTGGTGGGGATAGGGCAGTCTTCGAGGAACATATTTAATGTAACATTTTCCTTACATTGTTCCCTCCTGTAAGTGGCCAACTTTGTGTTTGCTGTTGGTTGGGAAAAGAAATAAATAAATAAATAAATAAATATTTTTTAAAGTAAATTATTAAATTACATTGATACATTGTCATTTTACTGTATATCTATAGGTTCATCTTTCCATAATAATTTTAAAGGCCAGTCATTTTTAAAGGGCCCATTGGATTATATGTTTAATTAGGATAAGTTGTAACTTCACATTAAAAAATACTTGTTGAGGTTCACAAATGTATGTCAATTAATTCAGAAAATTTTGCATTTTGCCAGACTTGCTTCTAAAAAATATTAAAATGTTTCTGAAGATTGATTTGAAGACATAGCCATCTTACATTCAAGTTTATGCTAACTATAACATTTCTTAACATCATAATTTTATGACTTACAATAATATGAATTACAAGCAAATGTGCCTGTTGCATTTGGAAATATGGAAATGGTTGGCTTTTCGGAAGAAAAAAAATTACTGATCAAAACTAAAGAAACATTAAATTATCAAAAAAGTCCTTTTTTTTCTTTTCCATTTGATAGTTCCAAGAATGTCTCAACACATAGCAGATGATGAATATATTAAGATTTAATCATTTGAATATTCATCCATCATTGACAACCTTATCATATGTACTTAATGGATGATGTAGCCTTTGCTGAGCTTCAATTACTCAGTACATTGTAATATTTGTGTCTGCAGTCAAGTGTGGGTGAACATTCGATGACCCAGCACAAGATTAAACTGTGTGATATGCAAGGCTTAGCTTAGTTTATACACAGCCATATATCATTCCCTTGACATCCAGCTATCAATGTATCTACAGTCTGATCACTTCACATTCTTGTCTGCAACATACTTTTGAAATCTGTGTATGCTGATACTTTGTTACTTCTTCAGGGATAATGTTGGCAGACAGCAGCCTGTAAAGATTAGTAGATTTTAATGGTACAGCCTTGATCTTTTGAGTGTTCTTGGAATTCACAGTTCTTGTCTTGTTTATACTTGTCTGTACTCGCAAACCAAGTTTTTTCATCTCTATTTCTTCTTCAAACTGTTGTAGCTGGATTTCAACAAGACATGGCTTGGTGAACTTCTACATGTTGAAGCTGTTCACTAAATTAGATGTCAAATGTGTTTTTCTCATCTGTTTTTTTAGTTCATGCTGATACAATCCACCAAACAATGTTGACACCTTCTATCTGGACAACAGTTCTTCAACAAAAAGACATTCCTCTATGTCGAATTCAAGAGTTCAAAATGTTATTGTCATTGTTTTCCAAAATAAACTTCTGCTTCTTTCCCTTTTATTTCTTGATACAAAACTGCATTTTCTTGTATTCTCATTCACATGAAATTTCTAATTTATTTAATATGGTGTTAAAGATGTTTTAAAATCTGAAGGTCTAATATACTGCCCTCAAATCACATCATTCCTATTTAAGAAATTTTTTTACAAGATACAAGACAAGTAGAGAGGTTAAAAGCCCTTTACTACAATGAGATGAAAGGTGAAGACACAGTCTAATCCCCTGAGCTCTAAATCTCTAAGCTCATGCTCACTTTTATTGGCATTTGGGCCAGACTCCTGAATGTTATACACAGTGCTGTAAGAGGTTCGCCACTTCAACTGCACTCTGTTTTAGCTTGCCCAGCATATTTTATTACACCGTTACCAATTCATATACTTGAATGGGGCAAAACAAAGATAGGTTTTAACCTTTGAACTTCAGCTTGAGAACCTAAACTGCAACCACTGTGCACAAATCACAGAGGTAATCTCCTTTAACAATGATACCAATCACAGAGGATAGAATGATACCATTGACAAGAAGCACCTTTTACAAAAAAAGCCACAGATGGCGTGAAGCACCTTCTACAACAAAGCCTTTGCATGAGAAATACATTAAAATCACATAATATTTACAACACAATCATTAATAAAGAAAAACCAAACCATTTTTTCATGGTGGTAAATTTTGGATGATGCAGGAACCTTGTATTAGTATGGGTCCCGTCAGTTATGCAGAACCTTAGCAGCAGGACAGGAGTCTGGTAGCAGCACAAAAACCTGGCACCAGTACAGGATCTGCCGAATGCTGGCTAAGCTTCCTTATCTGGTCAGTTTCTTACCCCATCTCTCTATTATTAAACACCCTCGGTTGTACTTGTTCTCAGTGTTAAGTGGCAGGTGTGAGCTTCACAGTCAGCATGGACAGATCTAACATGTGTCTGAAATTTTTAAAATGTGACAATTAGAAGAATTAATGGAAATTGTGCCAGTTTTATTTTGACAGGTTAAACATTGAGTGTATGAGCAATACTGTGAGAGGAACAGAGCAAAAGTAATACAATAACAGAATCAATGATTGGTGTACGCTAGTTTTCATATCACATATAAGTTGTTCTTAAATAAGAGAGAATATTTGTAGCTTTAATTCATGCATTAATAAACAATTTTTTAATGATTCGATTTCACTATTATGCATAAAATATTTTTAATTAAAAAGAAAACATTACATCTTTTGCTAAAGAAAAACAATGCTCATGCAAATTATACACCACTGAAATTTTACTCTTCCTTTACTTTTTCTTACCTATCATACTTTGACTGGAACACATAAGCATGTTGTGGGTTGAGAAATGTTAAAAAAGCTTTCCGCTGGTTTGGAATCATATGAATATTCTGCCACAAACAAAAATTGTAATATTTAAAAGTTCATAGTGATTGTATCTATTTAGTCATTTAAACTACAACAAAATGCTGCAAGCTAATAAATGTGCTCAAACTTCGTCTATCCAGAGCATCTTGTGTTTTTTTGTCTTTCTGAAGGGATGGTTGGGCAAAACTTTATTTATTCGTTGTTCTGCGAATTTATTTTTTTAAAGAACGTCAGAGGATAATGGAAAAAAATAACTAGACCTGTGCCAAGGTTGTAGTTTATATTGTTAGTTATTATAAATTACAATTTGTAAATACTGCACAGGTGTAGATTTAGAAAGAAAATTAGATACTGTAGGTCCTATGCAGGAGGGGGTTCGCTTAACAATATATAAGAAAAGTCTCGCTTAATATCCTTGTGTTTGTGCCTAAAATAAATAATAAAAATTAAATAAAAATTTGTTCATATTTCATGAGCAACACACTCACCTGTAGAGGGCCAACTGATTTTGTTAACTGGACAATTTTTTGACTTGCTGTTGATGCAGACAAGCCCTCAATCAACACTCTATTCAACATAGGTTCAGTTTTAACTAACCTAGCCCCTTCCATTGGGTTTGGTTGCACTGGACGTTGTAATATTTGTCTTGGATGTACTAGTGGCTGTACAATTTGTTGAATCACCTGTCCAGGTGGTACAACCAATCTCTGTTGGTTGCCACCTGGCACTTCATGAAAGTTTTGAGGCTGAGGGCTTGAAGCCCCAGGAAGTTGTCCAAGTCTTTCTTTTACGCTCTTTCTCACTGGAGCTGGTTGAGCTTGCACATTGCCTGGTGGAGCTTGCTGCATCGGGACTCGCCCCATTCCCCTTCCCACTGATGGCTGTGGAACTTGATGCATATTTCCTCTCCTTGCTTGCTGAGCCCTACCTCGTCCGACATTTTGATATCCTCCCCTACCTCGCCCCATTGCACTCCCTCTACCCTGTACACCACCTCTAGCCTGTTGCATAGGCCGTCTTTGAGGCACATTACCAGGAGGATGTTGCACTGGGCTTTCAAATTGTTGTGCTGGAACCTGCTGTGGAGGGCCATGCTGAGCTTCAATCTGGTGTCCATGCATTTGCTGGTTTTGATGACTGGGGTTACCCGCGTGCTGGTACGGATGACACTGACCTCTTCCACGACCTCGACCACGTCCTCTGTTTGGTGCTCTCTAAAAACATAACCACAGCTAATTCAACATCACAATTCTAAAAACCAAAGCTCACTGGTTCAATTGTGCAGTTTCAGGTTTAAGTAATTTCATCTAAATTTGTAATCACCGGTAAAATTTACTCGTAGTGAATTATTAAAACCTCTTATATTATAGCTATTTAAAGATTAGTGGCAGTTTTAATAGCAAATGTACTCACATTCATGCTGCCTGTGCTGGGTCTTTGCGGTGCCACCATTCGTTCGGGACAGCCAACAGTGGGTATAGGTCTTGGCTCATCAACTAAAACCTGTACAATTATAATATTATCCTTTATAAATTTCTTATAAGTTTACACAATTCCACTTCCATTTACAAAACTAGGCCTAGGTATGACTGTCACATATTTGTCTCAGAAAAACGCTCAGGCATATACCAAGAGACTGTGCTAGAGGGCAGAAGGCTGGACACAAACTACCAACTAAGAGTCTACCGTTCTTCTGTAGCAGTCTGCCGGTTATAACTAGGAAAGAATGACGGTGGCTGAAACCATCACACATTCATTAAGCCAGTGTGATGGCTTGGTTCAAAGAAGGCACTTGATAAAAAATCTGACAAACAAGATGTGTGTAGTGTTTGTAATAGTTGTTTGATAAATGCAGGTTCTTTCATACATAGACATTTAGAAAGGAGAATCTTATGTTTCATGCATAAAAACCAAAAATGTGTTGAGTGAATAAAATAAAGCATTCAAGATACCTTTAGGTTTTGTTGTTGCTTCCACACTTTTACTGGGCCATCAGGCATTGGCTGAGGTTGATGCTGTTGCTGTACTTGATCATGATACTGCCGTTGTTGATTCAATTTCTGCTTCAAAAACTGTTCCTGGAGTTGTTCATTAGTCTTCCTGGTGCTCCCTTGATGTTGTTGAGCGGATTCAGGTACTGGATTCACATTATTTGCTGGTGGTTTTTCAGCTGCTGGCTGAAGACCAAGTTTCTTTGTTGCTTTGGCAACATCGTGACCCTGTTCTGCCAAGCGTTTTTTCAGCGCTTCTTGACGCTTGGCGGCTAGTTGTTGGCGGCGCTCTTCTTTTCGCTTCATAATCTCCTCTCGCAGTTTCTTTTGTTCTTCAATTTGTATACGTAGTCGCCTTGTTTCAGCATCTTCATTAGTCTCCTACAGAATAAAAATCCATGTTTTGTAGACTTGCCAACACTGCACATCAAACTAAATAAATTTGTTTTACCAATGCATAGTAGCCTGACCATAATATTAACAAATTCTAAACATTATGCTCATGTAATAGCAACAACTTGCCCCAGTCATGCAGTGTGGTGGTGAAATGGCTCATTAACAAATGAGATTTGACTAATATAAAATTATTCAACTTAAATTTGTCTTATTCTTAACACAATTTATTTATGTTTCTACTACAATGAGAGAAAAATAAAAGTACACTGCAATATATAAAAACAAGGAATAAGGTAAATGTGGTAAAATTGGAGTGTAGGGTAAAAAGCAGAGTAATGACACAAAAATCATACTGCTTTACTTGTTTCCATTTATATCTAAACTGCTTTATATAACAGTGAATTCCAACAAAATTAATTTACTTTAGGAAAAAACTAATATTTAGAATTTATTCAGATATACATTCTGTAATATACTAACAACATTACATAATATCTACACTGTATTGTATCTTAACTTGTCTTTAAGGCAACGACTTTTTAGGTACTACTGTAAATATTTATATTCTTTATTATTATGGATGTATAGCAAATGTAAACAAAATCTATGCACATCTTGCAACAAATAAACATATTTTGTATCTTTTACCTCTTTAACTTGTACTATAGACTTTGCAGATGCTTGTTCAATCAGTTTTTGTGGGTGTGCTAATAACTGAGGAGATGCTTTTGGTGTAGGAGGCTGGTCAGTTCTCTGAGGAGTGCTATGTCTTGGAGATAAAGGTGAATGCCCTGGAGACCTGTTCACTGGGCTTCTCAGCCTGGAAAATCATTTAGCAGTTATGGATTGCATCTCTTTAAAGAATTCAATTCAATTGAATTATGTGAGCAAAGGTTGGTGGTGTTAAAAAGGACTGCAAAGGGTGCCACTACCACTAATGCCAAAAGGTTGTGGGGGGGGGGGGAGAATCAGTGCCCGGGACTGAGATGAAATAAAACAAAAATTTAAAAGTCAATAACATTAATAAGGAAAACAATATTTTGATCTACTATTAGTGTCTGTAATCACCTGAATTAGAAATATAACTACATGAAATGCCAGACCTTGAGGACTTTCATACCAACACCATGGACTCTGCCCCTGGAACCCACTGGCCCCAAACACCACTTTTGGGACCTCGACAGCTACGTTGCCTCGAGGCCCCGGCCACTAAAGTGAAGAGGATGCTGAAGATGATACTTAAACCAAAGGACTGCTGAAGTGGTCTTGAGGTTGAACCAAAGGGGGTACTAAGGGGGCTAAGGGAAAATGGGGTTATGAAGGTATTACAATAAAAGTAAAAAGCAAAAAGATACTAAGGATTGTTCCGGAGCAAAAGTATGTGCTAAGGGTGCTACTGGAAAAAAGTGGGGCCTAGAAGCTAATAGAGCAAAAAGGGTTTATGGAGGTTCTACTGAAACAAAATGGACTGAATGGGCTACTGGAGATAAAAAGGTGTTAAGAAATTACTGGAACAAAAGGAGTACTAAAGCTGCTACTAGAATCAAAATGGTATTGAAGGTTCTATTTGAGCAAATGATGGGTGATGAAGGGAGGATGGGTGAAGGTAACTTGAGCAGCAGGCCTCATCAGTGACATTTGTGACTTACCTTGGTGTCTGCTGTCTGAACTGAGGTGCTGGCTGTCTGCAGTGCTGAGATGCTTGAGGTGGACCAGTAAACATGGGTTTTGCTGGGCCTGGATTCATTCCTCGCTGGTTTTGAGATGTACCAGGGAACCTTGGTCTTGCCGATCCTGGATTCATTCCTCTCTGGCTCTGAGAAGCTTGTGGTGTACCAGGAAACCTTGGTCTTGATGAACCTTGATTCATTCCTTGTTGGCTTGGCATACGTTGTTGTTGATGCTGATTCTGTACAGGGGGGCCAGAGAAGTTACCTGGGTGTTGCCGTGGGGGGTAAGTAGGTTGTTGATGGGGGAATGCTGCTCTTGGCCTTAATTGCTGTTGCCGATTTGGAATTGCTGGCTGCATCTGTTGTGGTTGCTAATGAATAAATATATATTATATAACAAAACAGACAATGATAACCAGAACTCTGTAAGAAAAGAGGGTCTTAAGCAGATACTGGTCAATTTAGGCACATAGGCTAAGCATTGCTAATAGAGATATTAATCACCATTGTTTTGGCTGTTAGCATTCACACATACTAACAAATAATATAAACACTACATATCTGCTGCTCTAAAGCTCTGTCCAGACTATCAACTGTTGTATGTCCATATATAGTCATGATGTGCCTATATATAGTCATGATGTGAAGTCATCATGACCATATTTAGGCATGTCACATGTTTTTGCCAAATAAAATTTGATAGTCTGGACAGGGCCTTAGACTTGGTCATTTATGTTTTATTAGATTTTATATAAAACCTTATTAAATGTTGTTATTATTAATACTAATTATTTATGTTTTATTAGATTTTATATAAAACCTTATTAAATATTCTTATTATTAATACTAATTATTTATGTTTTATTAGATTTTATATAAAACCTTATTAAATGTTCTTATTATTAATACTAATTATTTATGTTTTATTAGATTTTATATAAAACCTTATTTATGTTCTTATTATTAATATTAATTATTTATGTTTTATTAGATTTTATATAAAACTTTATTAAATGTTCTTATTATTAATACTAATTATTTATGTTTTATTAGATTTTATATAAAACCTTATTAAATGTTATTATTAATACTAATTATTTATGTTTATTAGATTTTATATAAAATCTTATTAAATGTTATTATTAATACTAATTATTTTTAAATAATTTTAAAAGGAATAGAATTTAAAAATCAGTATCTACACAATAAATATTATTTTACAAAGATAAATGACACTTAACTATTTTTAAATTTTTTAAATTTACAAGGTTACATAAAATAAATTTACCAAGCCTACCGTATAACCTCGAATTAAACCCTGGGGTTTTTTATTGTTTTTTTTTGTGAACTTTGGTTGGGATACTTTTCTAAATGGGCTTCTTTTTAAAGCTACTTTTGCAAAGTAAAGAGGAGGGCTTCTTTTCAAAATGAATGCTGTAAATTTTGGGAATTACTACTATAAAACAATAAATAGGGCTACTGTAATCATCATGGAGTGTATTAACCGGCATTAAATCACCTAAACTACTTTTAGTAAACAAAGCTTGTATTTAATTTATTTTGTTTTCTGAAATTCATGTACAGTGTATGTACTGTACTATTTCAAAGAGAGCCTGTGCTATCTTGAAAAGAAGCCCATGGGCTTCTTTTCGAGTCTACTTTTGCAAGCTAAATAGGGGGCTTCTATTCCAGTGGTTTCCGTGGTTACGTTAATTGTAACAAAATACCGCACTGGACTGCTATTCACTGCTCTGCTATTCATCGCTAACAGCCTAGGCCCAGTTGAGCCATAGCGAACGTTGTGGGCCGGCATGACACGGTTGCTGTACACATTCAAAGGTTAAAGTTGACAGGGAAATCCCTGAACTCCAATTAGAACGTCCAATCAGCACATGCCTTTTCTTGTCTGCTAGCCGTAGTACTACTCACAGATACTATATTCAACATCGCACTCATTTTTTAAAAACATAATACAACAATGTATTCGTCCGCAAATACGCAGCTAACAACACAACACAACAACACCGGCGACCACACACACACGCCAAGCATGTGAAGTTGACAGTCGGATCGACGCTTTGTCGCCGGGATTTCTTCATTATTATTTTTTAATCTAAAACAAAGCATGTCAACTATTGAATTTAATTAGGCCTACAGTAAGTCTCATCTTCATCTGTTTTGTTGCATTCCTCAAATTCTGGCCTAGGCCTACTTGGGCGCGATTTTTTTTTCCGTAAGAAACATTTGCATGAAACTTCACTCGGGCCATTTCGGATTGACTCGACTGAGTTCGATGCGAGGAACAAGAGCAGACACCACGCAATGTCGTGACGCTCGAGTTCTACTATTATTCCTCTTTCAATGTTTCTATGATATCTTACGGATTTATGGGATGTAGGTGTGTAACTAACTGTGACCTTCTTGGATGTTATTAAATGTTAGTATAATATCTACAACAACAGTTTAGTGCCCCCTTTTATAAAGTGTAGATAGGTACAGTAATACCAAAGGCTAGAGAGAAAGAGGATAAACTATAGGCCTAACTGCAGGCTGACTTAAGTCCTACCTAGGCCCCTCCTTAAACTATAGGCCTAGGTCCCTAGGGTCCTAGGCTGACACCAACAGTCACACTTCACATGACGTTGATTGAAATTTTGAAAAAAATTGAAACATGAAATAAAAAGTAGATTGCATAAGATAAATATTGTTAAATAAATAAAATATACCATTCCGCTCCATTATTGAACTTGGGCAAACTATCCTTGTAATGTAATTTTAAATGATAATAATGATGATAATAATAATAACAATAATAATAATAATAATAATAATTTCAGCATTAGGCCTAATTACCTTGGACTAAACCTTGTAATGTAGAACCATACTATTTAATAGGCCTATAACTAGCCCAAGGGAATATTTTTGGTCATTTCCACTTAACGTCGATTTTTTAATTGCTCTCTAATTCCTCCATTGTCTAAGTCCCCTTAAGGTAGGCCTACAGGTTGGCTTTAGTAACATAATAATAATAATAATAGTAATAATAATAATAATAATAATAATAAATAATAATCATTTCTTCATTACATGTAATTAACTTGGTCTAGCCTTGTAATCAAGAACCTGCATTTTACTATGCCTGGTATTATAGGCCTCATTTATACATTCATTGTTGCTCTGCCATTTTGGCAGGTCTTATGGCATCCAGTATTTTAGAACTGTCTATTCTGAGCTCTTAGTTTGAAAATAACTGTCACCCTGTTTCATTTGATGAAGAAACGCGCCGAGAAACGCGCTTTTCCTTAGTCTCTGTGTTTTCCCCATAAAGTGTATGTTTTTAATAGTTAGTAGGCCTAGGTAATTATGTAAAACCCAGACCTAACTAAAAAATAAAAATTGTCACAGTATGTAACTCAATTTAAAATAACACTTTTCATTACTCGTGCAGCTCAATCAAATATTATATTCATTCAGTTATTTTAAATGACCCATTAGTATTAGCATGGTAACATCAATGTATTTTCAAAAAATTAGACATGCGACGTTCTACAAAACGTTGTTCTGTACGTTTATCTGTGGATGACCTTTTGACCTAAATTCTGATGAGATTTTCGGGTCGATTCAGTCGAGACGGCCCGAGTGGAGTTTCATGTAAATGTTTCGTACGGAAAAAAAAATCGCTACCTGGGCCTAGCTTAAAAAAAATTGCGTCAGCTAGCCTTGGGCCTAGGCCTGCTCGACTTAGGTCTTTTGGTTTTTGAGAACTTTCACGAATACGACGGCGACCCCCCGCCCCCAGGAAAACGCGGGATGATCGCCGACCAGCACTCCAAAAAGCTGGTGACATACCTGTACTTCAGATTAAAACCACATAACTAGTTAACATTACAACAATTAAATGATGAGGTCACCTACCTGCATTCTGGGATATGAATTCTGGGACTGTGTCATTTGTGGTGATGGTCCAGGACCCCTATGGGGAGGGGGACTGAAATTTTGTGAACTAGATACTGGTGGTTGATTGTCTCTGTAGGGATGAGGGCCTACAATGGAAAAAACAAATTTAACAAAATTATGAACTAACATAACACTACTAATACTGAATTACATGTACTGGGCAACCATAACATTTTTGCCCAAAAATTGTATTTATTTTAGTAGTTCTCTTCTCTTTGGAACTACAAATATGTGGATAGTTGAACTCAAAAAACTAACCTGACTGTGAGCTGGTCCATGTTTGTGCTGGGGTCAGCCTTGGGGCTTGATTCCATGATGATGAGGGAGGGACGTGTTGCCTATTGTACTGATCTGGTGGTCTGTTTTGATTCTGAAGCAAACACAAAATATGTAAATTTTTTACTTTTAATTCCTTCACATCTAACAGCAAGTACACATCCCAATTACAGAGCAGAATAATGGTTCTTATGAGCTTAGGTACTGAGTAAAATTCTGGTGTTTCATAGGCATTGAACCTAAGATCTTGGAATTAAATGGCAGGCATCTTATCCACCAATCTACAGTTTCACTCTAATAATTATATCGTGTGAAACAAAAATAATGGGCAAGATCTAAATGAATATGGAAATTCTGTACATTTGACTAATCCTAATCTTTGTCTTTTAAACTTTAAAAATTGGAATATAATTTTAATGGTGGAATAAATAAATAAATGAAATAAAACATTCACTTAATTTCATTTATTTAATTAACCAGGGCTCGATTTAGTACTAGCCCGGCGTACAATGTCTAGTAAAAACCGCTCCGGGCTAGCCTATTTACTCCTCATGTTGCCCGGTTGTCTAGTTTTAAAAAAATTTTTAAAAAGCGGAACGTTCGAGACAATCCCTGCACAGGAGGTACCGCAGTGCAGAGAGTACACTCTAGCTAGCTTTCAGCTCTCCACATGCGTGAGTGTTTAATTATTAAGATGATCCCCAAGTCATTCACCAACCACTACAGGATGGCATGTTATCTTTCTCTCAATAGAAGATCGTTTGATCGTTCAATCTGGTTAATTTAGGTAGTTAGAACATTTAAATTAATGTACTACCTTATTCATATTATTTTTTCATAATGATATTTTTAAAATGTCCAACTTTTAATAATAAGTACTTCAATGCTATAGGTAGGCTAGGCTAGACTAGGCCCTAGGTCTTGTCTAGGCTTAGGTAGCCTAACCTAGCCTAGGTAGCCGAAGCAAGATTTATTGCCATTGGGGTGAGTGTTTGAGACCTAAAGATTTAACAGATGCATTGGTTTGATTGATTTCTGGGTCCTTTGTAAAATATTAGAAAGCCAAAGTTATAACCAGGGAGATGTAAAACATGCTCATCTGTCCCTGTTATAACCAGAGTCAATTTTGCAGCGTGGGTGATTTTTTTATTTATTTATTCAACAATATTTTGAGAGGGTAGCTCAAACAGCAATGCTACAGAAATTATGAAATTGCAAGTCAACCTCCAAATTTAATTGTCGCTAATAAATATTTTGAAACAAAATTTTTTCCTGTCTGTGGGCTAGTAAAATATTCTGTGGGCTAGTAAAATCTCTAGTAAACTAGCCCAGTGGGCTAGTTACCAAAAAAAGTTAGGGCAAGCCCTGCAATGGA